CAAAGTTCAAGCCTACAGTGATAATAAATTTAATAATATAGCAGATTATCTAGCTTCACACTATTCACTTTTAGGATTCAATTTTTGAATTAATTTTAAAACTTTTAGATCTGAGTTTGAAGTTCTAATTAAATTTAGTATAATTAATTAGTTAGTATTTATCTGTTAGATAGAGATAAAGTCTTGCTATATTGAGGCAGATTTGAAATTAATTTTCTATTTTGTGTAGAAGGATAGTAATTAGTGAGACAAATATTTTACTATAATTTAATTTAGTAAATATAATAGTAGTAAATTTAAATATAAAGTTTTTGAGAATAAATTCTAAAAGGTTAAAATAAATAGTTGCAATTGAGTTAGTTTAAGAATTAGCTTTATAAATTAAATCTGTTAAAAATTTTGGGTATTGTTCTGCTATTGAGCAGATAAGATATTTGAATAATATTTTTTATACAAATCAATCTCTTGTCTTAACTATATAAAAATATAATAAATTACTCTTTATTAATATATATTCTCTCTAAATACAGATTTTTGTTATATCTTTTAAATAGTAGCACTTAGACTGTATATAATTTTTAAAAAAAATTAAAATATTTGAAAATTATTAAACTAATTTTATCAATCTTACTAATATTAGAATAAAAAAATTAACTTTATAACTAGTAATACAAGCCAAAACCTAAACTCTAATTAATTCAGCTAACAAAAATAATCAGACTAGTCAACAAACTGTGTATTTGTAATTTCAAATCTGATTTTAATTAAAAAAAATTATATCTTTTTATTTTATTTTAGAATCTTTAGACTACTCTTGCTTGTGTTTTATGTTTATTTATAGTCTACATTTGAACTTTTTGGATATATTCAGATTTGAAATTTTGTCTTAATGCTAGCAATTTTTTTTTAAAGCAGCCTGCTTTAATACTACCAAAATTTAGTATGCTATCAGCTAGCCCGGCTCATAAAGGTGCAGGTCGACCTTTTACCCGCTCGCCTGCCTGGCTGATGGTCCAAGGTCAGCCCGTATCACTATTTACAACTTTTATTAAAAGCTAAAAAAAGTTTAAGTTAGTAAAAAAAATTACTTTACTTTGAAAGAACAACCAGATTCTACCTTATTATAAAATATATATTAAATTAGCCCCAACTTTATTATAAAATACTATTAAATTAGCCCCAGCTTTATTATAAAAATATATTATGCTTAAAAGAATCACTAATTAATACTTTTCTCATCTGTTTTGTAAAATGGCATAGAATATTTAGAAAATTCGCTTTCATATGAATGTCACAGGGGAAAATCAGACTTCGGCTTGCAAGTTCATATCTTGTTGGACTCAAAAATCACTATAAATCTGATATGTTTAAGTCCGGTAAATTACAAATATAAAAGCTCGAAGTTTGGTTTTCCCTTGGCACCACTCATATAATTTTCATCAAAGCGATTCCTCAACATTATGACACTTCGACATAACAGCATTACATTATAACATTATAGCATTACAAAATTATTAATTATGCCATTACCGTTACGGCACTATAATTACGGCAAAAAATATTTCACGTGCCGTAATTCAATAATTTCCAAAATTAATTCTATCATCAATTATATATAGATATAAACGATCGGGATTTTATAGCAAAAGAACTAAAAATGGCTAGTATAAAAAAAGAATCATATGAGCCTGTATAGAAAATCTTTTGCTTAACATGATGCAATAACGATTTTTCAAAATTTGCAGGTAATTTGGATTTAGTTAAATGCATAAATAATATTACATAGCGGTAGTATTATCACGACCTTTTTACCAGGATAAAATAATAGTATCCACAATGCCCTGTATATCATCCTACTCGAATCAGAACTATTAGAAATGTGTAAATCTTATTGAAAAAAGGTGAACAGTAATGCGAAAAAAGAGCGAGATAAGAACAAATATGGAATATTTCAATAAAGGCTTCTTATACTCACCCAATAAATTAACATGAGCTAATCTGTTAGATATAAATATTTATAAATTAATTTTTAATATTTCACTTTTACGTCCGCAAGAGAAAACCTGTTTTATATATTACAAACAGGTTCAAATATTGGGTAATCCGGAATTTTACTAGTTTTAAGATTTATGGGGTATTTTCTTCCAATAACAAACTTTATTTATTGTAAATGCTATAATAGTACGTATTAAATCTCATTTGACTAACTTAATACAAAATGTAGCATACTTTACTGTTACTGTAAAAATTTAATATTAAAATTACTTAAATAATAAAGAAACAAGTTTGTAATTATTAAAGGCAGGTAAATCTGTGAAAATTCCATTTTCTGTTAAACCTTGTTTATTAAACTGGTTACGGTCAATTTTCCCGATGGTCATTTCCACATCACATAGGTGATAATTTACTAATAATATAAGCCTAAAACTAATAAAAGCTAACCCTAACCCTATGTGATGTCGGGTAAATGGCCTGTCAGGGAAATGAACGATTTTTACTTAGCCCATGAAAAAGATGAACATGATTTATAAAAATTATGATCAGCACGTGTAATATATAAAATTCGAGTGTGATCTTCATGTCTATAAGAATAATTTTGTTATTTACACATGAAAGTTATACATTCTCTCAGATTTCCAAACCCTGGGAATTGATGACCAAAACATATATATCTTTAAATAGTACAACAGAATTATGTAATTATATGGATATATTAACAAAATCAACCATTGTAACTGTTAATTTACATGCTCTTCGGATTGTTTTTTTAAAGATCTCCCTTCTTATTTAAGTAGTTAAAGTTGTGGGGCAAATTAGACAATACGAAATGACGAAATGAAAAACACAGTTATTTTAGTCGTGGGGAAAAATTAGATTATATGAGTGATGGCTTCGATAATATAGAGTGTCCCCTATTAAAAAGGAACTATTTTAGATTTTTAATTGTTTTTTAATTTGATTTTTTGATAGATATATAATATATTTAATGTTATAGGTCACGATAACTAATTATATAATAAAAAAAAATCCTAAAATAAAAGTTTAATGGAATATTTTAATTTCTTATTAAGACAGACGAAAAAAACCGAAAATATATAGTATCTTCTAATTAAAAAGGGACCTTGCAATAAATATTTTTAATTGGCTTTGTTAAACCGGTTTAGAATTTATTATATGGGATCACCCTTCGGGATTTTCCGAACGGGCTAATTCGGAAGGACCTAGACCAGAATACCAGTTCTTATTTATATGTAAGTCGTCTTTTACATTTATCGATGCAATAGTTTATTTAATAAACTATTATATCGACAAGGTAAAAGATGATTTGCATATAAATAATAACTGGTGTTCTGGTCTAAGTCTTTCCGAATTGGCCCGTTCGGAAAATCCGAAGGGTGATTTTCCTACATATTATTTAAAATTGCTAGAATAACATGATATCATAATATTCAGGGGTCGAGTCCGATGACGATAAGGTGAAAATTAGTAAACCTATCTGCTATATGCATGTGAATCTAATTTTATATAAATACAAACATTGGAAATAATCTGCGTTTTGAATGTTTGAAATTCTTATAAGTAGGTGAAGTTATCGGAATTCTTCTTATTTATTCAGTTAAAGGATTACATCTGTTTAACCGTTTTCAAATATTTCAAAACTTTTAATTGTAAATAAACCAACCTTATAATTTTAATAGTCACTATGGGAAAAGTCCATTCTAAGCCTTCTAAACCTCGACATCAAAAAAGTAAAAGTTTACCAAAGCCTGAAATAAAAGATCAAGACGTACAAAAATATATGACAAGGAGAAAGTATTCGGCTTCCTACGTACTCCCTGTGGATGATGATGAGATCGATAGAATGACCTTACAACATTATATTTTTCAGAACATCTGGAAAAATAACTTTTCTTCACCTGTCGAATCTTTATTAGAACGTGGTGGTGCAAAAGTATTGGATATAGGGTAACTAATTATTTTATTGAAAAATATTCGTTTCATATATATATTTTCTGACTTGTGGATTTTTGTATCAAATTAGATGCGGCCCGGGTGTTTTTGTCCTTGAACTTGCCAGGTTAGTTTACCATTCATTTCTAGTAATTTTTTTCATATGACTTTCTTTGTTTATATTCATTTTATCTTCTTTCCTTTATTTAAATTCAGTAAATACCCAAAGTCTCAGTTTACCGGATGTGATATCGTTGCAAATTATCCTATTCAAATAAAACCTGAGAATAGTACATTCGTTCGAGCGAATGTTGTTGAAAGGTTACCTTTTGATGATAATACGTAATATCTTTATTTGATTTATTTTTTCGATTTTATTTCGATTTTATTTTGAAATTAACTTTTTATTCAAATTCTTAATGCAGTTTTGATTTTGTATATGTAAGTGTAACTTCTCGTAATTAATTTATTTTAAATCGATTACCTAATAAATATTTTATTTGTTTTTAGATGAGATTCATGATGTTTGCATTAATGACAAAAGAATGGCCATATGCCATTAGTGTAAGTGAATATTATTATGTATATTCAAGTTACCTTAAAAAAATCTCATTGATTTTAACTCGTGCTTTGTTTCGGAACTATTAGGAAATGGTTAGGGTGACAAAACCAGGAGGGTGGATCGAAGTAATGGAAAGGTAAATAAATATTTTATGAAGAATTTTCTTTATTATTATTATTATTATTTCTAATTAAAAAGTTTCTCCTTATTTCAGAGATATTCTTTGGTTCAATGAAGGTGAAGTAATAAGAAATTGGAGGACAAAAAGTAAATCTCTTGATATTATATTATTTATAATTATTTATTAGATTTGAAAAAAAAGTTAACTTCATTTTTTATCTATAGTTGTTGATGGATTAAAAGCTGCAAATGGTATTGACCTTATAATAAGCCCACATTTACCTAATTACCTTGCTGCAAATAAATCATTATCCAAGATTTCAAAAGATGAAAGGATTGAACCTTTGGGAGCGTGGGGAGGTATTTTGGGTAAATTCTCAAATTTCAAAATATATTTAACATTTTTATAAATATTTTATATTCTAATTGAGATTTCTTTACGATTTACAGGTAAATCTTATGCGCAAATTATAATGTGGGGTGCTAAAAATCTTTCTGAAGTTGTGAATAACATAAAATTCCAAGAAGGGGATTATGAAAAATTGGTTGAGATTGCTATGGATGAACTGGATAAAAATCATGCATTTGACAAAAGTTATCGATTCTGGGCAATGAAAACATCAAGATAAAAAAAAAAATTGTATCATATTGGTTTTACTTATTTTTAAATTTTACATTGTAAGAAATGTACATTTTTTGTTTCTCATTACATATTTCTACTGTTATATAATGTTAGGTATTAATCATTTATTTATTTTTAAATTTTTTGCATTGTAAGAAATGTACATTTTTTTTTGCTTCTTATTACATATTTCTACTGTTGTATAATGTTAGTTTATTGTATAATTTATTGTATATATTGTGATTTATCTTTATTTATCTTTTTTTAATAAAAACGCATCTTTACAGTATAAATTTATATAAATACAATTAATTCTTTTACATATATTTTCTCAAGTAAGACCATTTAAAGATATCAATTGATATTTGTATATTACGATAGTCAATATTGCCTTGCATCGCTTACTTTCATAGTGTATTTGCTATATATTTTAAATTTCTTTACAGAAACCTGAATCTCTTAATACGCAGTAACTGTATAGTGACTATAATAGCCACTATTATTTAGCAAAATAGTAATTATAGTTACTATATAGTCACTACACAGTTACTGCATATTAAGAGATTCAGGTTTCTGTATAGTTGTATATGAATAAAAACAAAAAGGTTTCATATCATAATAATCTAAAGTTTTTATTTATAGATTCATGACTTAAACATTAATAAATATTAATAATTAAAAATCTTTTGCTAGCTTATATCTTAGATAAAATTATCTAGTTATATAATAGCCTTTTAGCTAATAATTATAGTGATTTATAGTATCATCTAGATAAATTATTCATTCTGTTATACATAGTAAAGATTAGCTAATCAGTTTTAGATAGAGTTGTTAATAGGTTGGATTTGGTTGAATTGGGTTGAACTAGTCCTCAACCCACTCCAGACTTGCTTAGTAGTTGTTCCGGTTCTCTTCAGTTTTACTTCAGATTTTTAGTCATAACTTTAACCCACTCCAACTTGGGTTAGGAACTGCTCAGGAGTATTCTACTCCATTAACAACACTAGTTTACTTATTTCTGCAAGTGATACAAGCCTAAAAAGGAAATTTTCATATGTAGATCATTAGATCGGGTGTAACGTTTTGTGTAATGTAAAATTGAAGAAATTTTCAAAAATCGGCTATAACTTTAAAATTTGACTAAGAAACCACCTTTTGCGCTCTAATTAAAAAAATTTCTTGCTAAATTTTACGTATAATAACCAAGCCTCACTCTGCTTTAACCCTAACTCTAACGTCGTAAATTCAACGTTTTATTAGTAAAAACTAATAAAAATAATGCTTTTTTTTTCTTTTTAGGCTTTGTATTACTTGCAGAAATAAGTAAATTCGTTTTTAGATTAGCAAATCATATAAATTTATCAAATAGTTTATAATTATTTAAAAATAGATGAGCATGATGTAAATAAGATAAAAATTAGAGTTTCAATTCGGATAAATCTGTTATCCATTCATCCATTCATCCATATCCAAATTTATCCGGATATCCATTTACTATTGATATCCGGATAATCCAACAGATATCCGGATAATTATCCGGATATCAATAGTAAATGGATATCCGGATAAATTTGGATATGGATATCTGATGGATAAATGGATAAATAGATTATGGATTGAAACTCTAATAAAAATTATATGTATTAGGCAATTATATTTGATTATTATTATTATTATTATTATTATTATTATTATTATTATTATTATTTTATTATTATTATTTTTTTTTTTTTTTTTTTTTTTTAGCAGTCATGCCACGACTTTATTTAGATTTGTTTTTCATTAATAAAACAATATTATTCAGTTTTATACTATCTAATGCCTAAGTTTTTAAGTTCTGACTTATCTGGTTATCCTCTAGATACCTATATATGATCTGCTATAGTAACCTTTGTTCTATATTAAGTAGTTTATAACCTATATACTACAACTTAGTATAGAAAGGATACTACAGCTCATTATGACTAACTTAAAATCCAACTATCTGAAATTCTCTCTTTAACTTCTCTAGCTATACTATCTAATACTATTTTAAGACTAATATTACAAATTTCTAAGTTCTCATCTATTTTGCAGTTTGTCTTTCTCACTCTAGTTTTTTTCTTTCAGTTGTTTTTCCTTTTTTCTTTTTGGAAGTATTTTTCCTTTTTTGAAATCTTTTCTTTTTTTTTCTATACTTCTATATCTTTGTATTAGTTTTTTCAAATTTCTTGGTAAAACAGTTCTATTCAAATATATCAAAACAGACTTCAAAATTTAGTTGTTATACTTTCAGAGCCAACAATATTTTTGATTTTTTTCACTTCTTCTTTACTAAGCATATTTCTTATCTATTCTTTTTCTTTTTGTTATTTCTTTATTTGCTCACAATTATTATTATTATTATTATTATTATTATTATTTATTTATTGATAATATCAAAATAGAAAAAAGATTAGTATATTTGTATATTATAATAATATATATGTAAAGCTAATATATATTTCTAAAGTACATTGTTATTACTAATACTAGTTAGTTATTCAATATAATATTATATTCTTATTTTCTATTTGTTAGCTAATTTAAATCTAAGTTACTATTAACTATAGAAAAGATTAAAAAAGATTTCTAAGATTATAAAAAAATAAAATTAGAAAAAACAATTATATAAAGAAAAGTTTTGAGGTAATAATTTTTGAATATAGTTGTCTATGTTAAGTTTTAGGAAGTATTATTATTTGTAGTATTTGAAGTTTATAAAAAGTAAATAATTTTTGTATATTTTTTTGTTTTTTTAGAAATACTATAAACAGATTTTTATTCATATTATTTTTGATTTCTATCTTTTCAGATTTTGTTGTTGAACCAGAGAAGTAAAGAATTAGAAAGTTGTATAAAGAAGTTATTAGTTAATTTTTTAAGTAATATATATATTTGTTTAGAACAAATTGTTGAAATAGTTCTTTAGATTAATAAAAATAAGATATTTATAAAGTTTTAGATATTGTAACTAAAAGTGAGAATTTGAAAAATTCTTTAAGAGAATATATTTGTTATATATTCTTTAAGAGAATATATTTGTTTTTTTTTTTTTTTTTTATTGTTTAAGGTGGCTTACATTGCTAACGGGATTTTATTAGTATTTGCATACGGAATTATACATTGATAATCCCTACTGTTTGTAATTATATGAAGAGTGTACAACAAGCCACACGTACAACTTTAGTCATTGTCTAATTTAA